CAAGAGCGGCCGATAAGTGTTGCGAGAATGCTGACGTCGGAGATTGTCGCACCGGCCTTTGTAAGGGGCGCCACTGATGTTCCCCACGCCGGAGACTGTATGTTGTACCGTCTGATATTTGGATGATCACCTTTATCTTATTATTTGCCCTTTTGTATCTTATTTTAGATTTTGACTTTGGTTGTGAAACTAGCTTTTGCCCTATTCTTCAACTTCGATTTACTCGCTCACGCAGTAATTTCTAGAAATCCTCTTCTATTTCTCTCCCATACTTTCCACGGAACCTACTTACAGCCAGCTTACGGCTTACGATGATAATGAAAAGGTTTATGATAGTAGTAATTGAATATAAATTGATAACTGTTGTTACTACGTCGTGTAAGACAAGAATGTATATACGATGTTCAATCTGTATTTGTTTTAATTGTTGGTAATTATTTACAAGTTAGATTGAAATTTTAAAGAAAATGCAAAAAGTTGTACAGTCTCTCCTTGAGTTGTTCTAAAATTATGATCTAACCGTTCAACAACGTAAGCCATTACGTCTATCCCATCAACAAAAAATCGTTCTCCGAACCCAAATCTCAATCCCGCCTAATTCCTATACCTTAACATCAAAAAAATCCCGGCGAAAATTGGACGTTCAAGCACCGTCCGTACTTCGCGGGCCTTATTCCATTAACGGACCTTTTTCGCGCCTTGCACAAAGCGGGGATATTGAGGGGCACAGACCTCAATCTTAGAGGTTTACGGCGGCCCTCCAGACCTCCTCCATAAAGAATTGTATTTGCATTCCGTAGCCTGAGAGATTGATCCCGACTTTAGCATGTCAATACTAGAGGTCAAGGGCTGTCATTTACAGGGGAATTAAAACCGTATTAGCTAGCCCTAAGGCCGGTATTACATTGAGAAGTGATGTAGGGCAGCATTGGTAGATTACTCGTTGGCAGTTAGGTTAGAGAGGATAAATAAAACGCAGGAATCAATCGTTTTTCCGATCAACGACTTTTTGTAGCAAGTAATTTACACAACGCTAAACCAAATAATAATATATCATCCAGCATGTCATACAATTTACATAATATGACTCTTTAAATATTATCACGTACACACACTGGGTCACTGTACTACGTTTTAATAACATAAGTAAACTTCTGGAACAAATAGTTCCACGTATCGTCATCTTTTAAACAAACTCTCAGTTGCTACTGTCAACAAACCCGACAACTTGGACAAAGTTCGTATGATTGCAGGAATCGCTCGGTAGTTCGCTGCGGAGCGCTCCCACAAGTCAGTTTTCATTTCTCCTCGGCGGCGTTTCAAATTCCTGTCACACTCGGTCCCTTTAGACGTTAGATTGAATATAAGCATACAAGTCACGTCGCTACGTGTTTTTCTACACGACAAAGAAAGGTCCTAACCGTTTAGTGCACGTAATCAAATATATAAATTGAAGGGTGCTGATTCGATAATACTTCGGGAATGGCGACGCGTTTTTATGGGAAATCTCATAGGACACTTGTATGGCGTGGTCGTTTGTAATAATAGCAGGGTTTGTGTAAGGGTTGTCGGGTTCTATTTTGAAAGTGTTTTTATATTTCTCTCGTGAGTACAGTGGAACGAGAAAAGGCAAATATAACAAGACTAAAAACAACGTTTTTTATTTAACATTCGTTCTTTAAAGAATCAAGCTGCTTCACTTTAGCATCGTGTACCTTTTAATCAAATATTACTTAAGTAAAAGAAAAATATAAACAAACTCGATATAAACTGGTATAAATTCTATTTTACAGTCCATTGCTGTCTCGATCAGTAGCTATTATCGTTGAAATGTGTAACTTGCAATGTAATGCTGAACAACATGAAAATAAGCGCTTTAGAGAACACGTCCTGAATACTATTCCGAGTACGTGGAGAGTGGAACTTAAGCTGTTTGGTTCGAAATACTTTTATTAATATTTCTCCAACACTTGAACCAACGTTGTATAAATACTTGACTTGTCCCTTAACTTGATTCATGAAAATTAAACAGCCAACTTTTTCCCAAGGAACACAATTTCACGACGGTGGGCCTCTTAAACTTGCTTAAGTGCTTATTGGGAAAAAATGTCACCTAATAGAATAGGGAGTGACGTCACGGCTACATAAGGACACAGATTAAGTAAGGACTAGGAACGAAGCTACAAAGAGATAATTATTTATTTAAAACAAGGCGCATTGGAAACAGTAATTTGGCGACTAAATTATTATTATGTCAAGAATATTCTGGTAACTTTTACGAGATTACTTACTAAATAAATCTCGATAAATGTACCACATTTTTTCTAGTAGTTAGACCTACCAAAGCCTGTGGCTGACAGTAATGTGTTTACTAAGGATTAAGTAAAAAATAATGGCTGTAATAAAGCTGTTAATGGAAAATATTGGAGGTCTGGAGCAATATCGGTATCGTTTCCGTCAAATAATCTGTGTACGATGAGATTGTGCGAAGTATTTCGTGGAGCGTGTGGCGTCGGATTACACGCGTCCCGTCCTGACAGGCGCACGGAGGCGCGCGCGACGCGACACGACGCGTCACGCGTGACGCCAGATTAACTTCACCGAATCCCTTCAAGTATTCCCATTAACTGGACTCCGCACATTTTTGGTGTTGCCAGCTATTTCCCAATATCGGAAAGAGGTCAAAAGGTAATTTCGTAATTAGAAGCTTTGTAACTTTTGCAGTATTGGGATAACGTGTGAAAGGTAAGTTTTTGTTTATTGTCGTTGTTTTAACGAACTGCTGAGCAATGGGTCTCTAGTTAAATTCTTGGGTTGGGTGAAGTATTGTTTGGATTTTTTGAGGTTTTCGATCTCCATAGTAACCATAGTAAAACTAGCTAAATAGTGCAAGAACAATTTTATTTCATGTCTAGAAAAAAGCAAACAGATAACCTGCTTGATTTTTGAGGATTCTATAAGGTCTACATATGATTCGTTTTCTTTTTTAATTTCCGCACTTTTAAAATTGACTATTACAAATAACAATTGGAATGAGGGAAATATAAAAGAGGCACACCGCAGCCGCAGCGCGACCTACATGTTGTCTCTAAACGCACTGCATGAATTATTTGTTACAAATGGACCAGATGTGGGACTCACAAGGTAAATTAAAAAAATGTAATTTGTATTCTTATATCACTAATTGACCTCTTTGGTAAAGTCTAGATTGATTAGTAATCATAACGATTACAATTTCAATATTCAATTTTTTATTCAATTTTCGATAGTTCATAGTAGTACAGGTACAAATGGACCAGTATGGTTAACTGGAAACAAGTAAGTGTTGCGATTAGTGTACTCTTCTCTGTCTACCTACCCGCGATATAAATACCCTGTATGTTACAATACAATATGTGTTCACATCTCTCGTTGTTTCATTAAAGCGTCTCTGTGAAACCATCTTCCTCACCACACTGTTCTTAGAAAATTTTAATTACAATTCCACTGGGTCGCAACTCGTCGACCGCTTTTACATCAGTTAATTATTCATCAAAGTACTTTTGGTCAAAGACTCGAATTATATTAAAGGTAAATCAAGAGAATGGTATTACTATTTAGGTAATTCAAAATCCATACAATTGTTAATTTGAAATGAAATTATTGTCAGAACCAAAGGTTTAACTAATTCTTATTTTGTATTATTCTTCTTGAAGCCTTCAGAAAGTTGACTGAGGGACCGACAGATCGACTATTAATATCATTTCTATTTTTGTAGTTTGACCTTTAAAATTACCTCTTCGATATAATTGAAATAAATTGTTTCGACCTTGACTTTCATAAAGTTTAGATTATTTGATATCAATTTACAAAGTTCCTTCGTAAGTACCTACATTTTTGAAATTGTGAACCGAAGCATTGTTGTTATAAATATATAAACTTTGTAATACCTTATTTATTTATATATTACATTGTGTTTTCATAACGGGTCAAAATGTATTGTTACTCTATCTGAGTCAATATGAGCGATGTCGCAGTGCAGCTGTGCACACCGCACTGTTACGCATGTTTGACAATATTAAACATAATAATATTATACAACATTAATAGAATGTTTTTTCATTAATACATACTAATTATAAACGCAATGTGAGTTCATTTGTATTATTAACCAGCTTTTACCCACGGGTTTGCCCGCGTATTCCTGTTTTATCCAATCCAATTTAATCGGATAAAAATTATCCTATCACCTAAGTCAGCCCATACCCTGCCTGTACCAAATTTCATCAAAATCTGTTCAACAGTTTCAGCATGATTGACAAACAAATAAAAAAACGTTCACATTTTTTATATTAGTGTGATTTCATTCTACGAAATAAACGGGTCTTGAGAGGTTTTAAAAGTAGATTGTTTTGGTAGTAAGTATTTTACTTTCAAGTGTTATTCTCATCATCAGCTTATTACAATGGTAATGTGCTAATATTCTTTTATAGAATTTTAACCATATGCTTTAAAGTAGAAAACCTATAAAAAAACAATTGACGGATACGTGTGATTTGAAGTACTGGCATTTGTACGAATAGTACCTATTTATATAATACATAGTACATAGTAGTGGTACACGTGCCGCAGTCGCGTGTGTCTGCGTTTGTGACCGCAAGCTCGCGGTACGTCGCGCGGTCTACGGTCTGCGGTCGACGCCGCGACGTCTGAACTAACCTTCACAGTTCGTTACAAACTACTACTTACTATTTGCTCAGGTTGACATCCACTGTTATACATTTAATAAGACAGCTGTGATGTTAAGTTAAATCACAAATAGGTGTGATTATATTATGGCTTTTGCTTAAAAACGCTTTGTAGGTAGATTGACCAACAACTGTAGTTTCCTCGTCTACATTGCATTGACTACTGAATCTTTACAAGTATTCTTAGATAAATATAACACACACGTAGGTATGTCTAGAATCTAGATAATTTGTTAATACATAATGAATAACAATGAAGTGCTGTGGACTCACCGGCCTCGAGCCTCATGTCCCGCGAGAGTATGGTGCCGGCGGTGCTGGCGGCGCGGCAGCGGTACACCGCGGCGTGCACGTCGCTGCGGTACTGCGCCGCTGAGAACGCGCCCAGCCACAGCGTGCCGTTCGACAGGGCGCTCCTGGAACGAAACCACACCCTGTACATGCAACGTACAAACTTGTACCAAGTTACTAAATATTAAAAGAAATTAAAATTATTTCTAAAATGTGATATAGTATATTAAAACAACAGTTCTATCAATTTGTACTTCCTATACTTAGTATAAATTGGCATAATCTCTCTCTACGCTTGACGCTGTTATACAACAATAATAATTATAAGGACTTTATTAGGGGAGTTTTATTATGGTGTTTCAATACGTTTCGAATATTCGGTCATATTTTCCTTAACCATTGGCCCACGGAACTGGAACGAAAATAAATATAAACCAAGATCACCTGTTGCGATGTTTCCTCTAACTCAATATAAAAGTTCACGGCGAGCAGTGTGCGACGGGTAAGGAATTGTACCATGTCTTCCTCTAGGTTGTTTATTGGCCATTACTCAAGTGAACGAAATTCTATGCAAATACGATGCATTTACACTTGTGTTAAATAATATCTCACTCAAAAGATTCAGCCCCATTTCCGAACAGTTCAATAATTAGTTTTCCAATGAATTTATGTTAACAACAACAATTACCTGGAACGGAAATGAGGATGATGGCAATATTTGATTACAATACAATTACTTGTAAAACTGATTGTTGATTGCCTGTAATATAATTACAATACACAATTGTATAATATGCAGATGTGCTGTTATGAATACAATACTTTAGTCGGAGTGTACACTTCAAAATTTCGCCAAACTTTGTAAATGATACAGACCAAATGTTATTTAAATGATATAAACACGTTTATTTTAAAGGAACTTAATATATCATCATATAATTATGTATTTAATATTATTTTCTTCGTAACGAGCAATCGTAGTAACAAACTTACGCCTCGTTAACTTAAAAGGAATTTTAAAAATCAGAATTTGCATTTGCTGTAAGAAGCAAATTTTATCAAAGGTGGTCCTTAGCGTCGGCCACTTCACGAGCGTCGTCCATTATAAGTCTTGAGAGAAAATGTTTTAAAAATATGAAAGCAAGTAATATCTTCCATAGTTCGGATTGTTGCGAGAAGTTGAAGATATCCCAACTTTGTTTGTATCACCACTCCCCCGAACAGTGGCGTAACTTGACCAACTTACTATTAGCAAGCACTCACTGCCAGCAGTTTGATATTCCTGAGCTATATTTTTAACTTTGTTGTAACTTATTATAAGGTAGTAGGATCTGTTTTACTTTGTTTTATGTAAATTAACAAAGACATTTCAAACAATTGTATGAATTTCTGATAACTTTGCATATCGTAGGTATTCCCTCTAGTAATAGTAAGTATAGGTAAGAGAGAGTTCGATGCAAAGTACTGATATCCCTTGAATCCGGCTCAGACTCAGCTCCAACTGGAGCCTTCAGAGAGCTTACGTATGAAAGTATGTATTCCATACAAGTAAAGAAGTCTGCCAGTTTAGTTGAGCAAGATCTTTATCTGTCAAAGCCTCAGAATCCTTCCTAAACCAATTGGAGAAACTATTTCGTTAAGCATTCACTAGTTGGAACGTTGTAAAGGCCGCATACAAAATTTATGGAAGATAAAAAAGGTTGTTACGTGAGCGGGTCACGAGGAGGTTCCTCGATCATGGATTTAACGGCTTCAATCGTCGACTTTTGAGGTCCACGCGAGAGTTACGAGAGACCTTATTTTAGGTAATAACTTGCGACCGGCTCAGCCCTTACTGTTAACTCACTGAGTTACGTTTTTGCTCATAAAAGTGGTGTCATCAATTTTTATACGTTTCCCGTTAAGCAGGGAGTTTATTGAGTCTCAGTTATCAAGGTGTACCCTTGCCTGATATTACATCTCATTTGGCGCTGCGTATTTTTTGTGGAGAACACTTTCTCAGGTAGATAACACTGTTTGATACATAAAGGTCGTGATCGACTTTTCTAGATCTTTAAAGAAATCAGATGATAAAAATGCATTATTCTCTCATATTAACGTAAAACAATATGACAGAAAGTTACAATGAAGTAAAATTTAACACCAATCATTGACGTTGCAGTAAACCATAGTGAAATTCTATTTGTGCTGAACAAAATTACAAACGACAGCAGTTGAAATAGTTAATTGTGAAATCTTGTCAGTCGTAATAAATTATTACGTAAAGATACATTTGTTGTTAAATTAAGATTTATTTAGTTACCTAAACAATCTAAAATGTTCAGTTCAGTTGATCCAAAGATGAAATCTCCCATCTAAAAGTCTCGCTTACAATCACTACACTCAATATACAATTTAGTATGTATGTATAACATAAATTCGATACTGTTAAATAAAATAGAAGTTCGATTTAATTATATTACAGTTCAGAGTTTTTATTGTTCGTCTATACTGTTATTAATGTAAGCCTATTTCGGACGTGTCATAGAATATTTATAATTAAACCAGCGCGGCGGGTCTTTTCAACGCTCACATTTATTTAAATTCAAAACGATTTTTCTGCGGCCTTCAAACGCCGCGCCAGCGCCCTCCTATTCATAGTGTCCAAACTTTCTATTGAATAATCTCTTTGAATACAAATGATAACTTGAAACAAAACACTCACTTCTGTGAGTGTCCTCGTAATTAATCACCCAGATACTGTTTCTTTCCATTCCGATTCAATTCCTTGGCGTTTTTGAATAAGCAAATCTTTTTAATAGAATCTGCGGGTTTGTGAATAAGATAAATGAGCCATGATTTTTGGTTTGGATAAAAAATGTCGGTGAATGTAAGAAAAATAACGTTTGAATGGAAGTCGGGTCGGACTGTGGTTCGCGCCATTTATAACCGTCGCGTTTAAAACGATAGTGTACGTTATACTCACCCGGCTATAGATCTGCCGACAGATTTATTGCACCGCTTACATTTTTCGGCTTATGAAATTATTTGCCGGAGAAACATTTTCGTGTAGTTTTAAAATATATTCAATGTAATTTATTGAAAGTAATCCAAGTTACAATTGTTAGGATTATAACGATTGCTTTATCAAAGTTTAGCCTAACTATAGATAATATTTTTATTTAAAAAGCAACTTTAAAAATTGACTTAGTTTTTTTAAATTAAATTTTAAAAAATTTATTATAATTAAATTTAAAAAAGATTTCAAGCAATTTTGGAAGCAAACAAGTAAACTTAGCTGTAGACCTGGCCTACCTGTGAGCATAGATGGTATTAATGATCACATGGAGATAGCGAACCTTTTTAAGGAGTACTTTGAGATCAAACCACACCATGGTACTGTGATCACATCCAGTCAATCCGTAGAGTGTGGGGCTGTCAACCATCGGAGGTCGGTTCGGTTTACAGCTAAGGAAGTACGAGAGGTTATAAGAGGAATGGCTAGAGGCAAGTCTCCGGGGTATGATGGCCTCAGCATTGAACACCTCAAAAATGCTGGGGTTCATCTGCCCCGCATACTCTCAATGTTTTATAATTTATGTCTTTGTCATAGTTACTTACCAGAGGAATTAACTAAAACAATTGTTGTACCAATAGTAAAGAATAAAACGGGGGATATATCAGACAAAAACAATTATCGCCCCATATCACTGGCAACCGTAATCGCGAAGGTGCTTGATAGCCTGCTTAATAATATTCTTGTGAAACACATAAAGTTGCATGATGCCCAGTTCGGTTTTAGAGCTGGCCTTTCTACTGAGAGTGCCATTGTGTGTCTTAAGCAGACTGTCAGGTACTATACGGACAGGGGGACGCCGGTATACGCGTGCTTCCTGGATTTGTCAAAAGCTTTTGACTGTGTTAGATATGACAAATTGTGGGGCAAACTGGCGAGTGCGGGTGTGCCGGTGGAAGTTACAGCGTTGCTGAAGGGCTGGTATGGTTGTCAGAAAAATCAGGTGAGGTGGGGAGAAGTCTTGTCGGAAGCTTATGGCATGGAGTGTGGTGTGAGACAGGGAGGACTCACCTCTCCTCTGCTGTTTAACCTGTACATAAACGACTTGATCGGCGAACTCAGTGATACACATACAGGGTGTCATATTGATGACGTTTGTGTCAGTAATTTAAGTTACGCGGACGATATGGTGTTGCTGGGGCCGTCGGTGGGAGCGATCAGGAAGTTGGTGGCTATCTGCGGGACATATGCAGTGGAGCATGGACTGAAATATAATGCAAAAAAGAGCGAAATCATGATATTTAAAAGTAAAAAAAACGCTCCATTTCATGTTCCGCCAATTATGTTGAACGGGGTGGCTCTAGGGATGGTGGCTAGCTTCAGGTACCTAGGACATATTCTCACTGAAGATTTGACGGATGATGCTGATTTGGAAAGAGAACGAAGGGCATTGGCGGTGCGGGGTAATATGATCGTTCGGAGATTTGCGCGTTGCTCGGTGGAAGTAAAAATACTTCTGTTTAAGGCATACTGCCAATCTTTTTACGCAAGTAGCTTATGGTTGAGTCATACTCGGCGGGCCGCGGATGTCATTAGAGTCCAGTACAACAATGTGTTTAGGATGCTGTTGCGGCTGCCTCGGTACTGCAGTGCTTCTGCTATGTTTGCAGAGGCGCGCACTGATGGCTTTCATGCAATTATGCGGAAGAAAGTCGCTTCTATTTTCATGCGTGTGAGGGGCAGTAGCAACGGCATCCTGAAGATGATTGCTTCACGGGCGGATTGCCCAATCCAGCGGAGATGGATGGATATCGTGTTGGGGCTGTAGACGTCGGTAATCTCTCGATCTCTGTACGGTCCAATCACGCATAGCGGGTATCGTGTCTGATTCTCCAATGGTTTTGATTATATTGTTACTTTTGACATTGTTGAGTTTTATGTTTTATTGATAGTGTGACTTTTATATTTTGTTGTATTCCTTAATTTAAATTTTATTGCTTGGTTGTTAGTTATTTTCTTCATCAATTATTATTATTCTGGCTGTATGGACTTTGTCTGACATTAAATGAATTTATTATTATTATTATTATTATTAAATATTGAATTATTATCAAAGTGTTTGGAGTATTT